TCAAAATGAGGACTATGAAAATAGAATCTCTCATTATTTTATGCTTTGGCTAGATAAACCAAGAAAAAAACACAGGATTGAAAACTAAATGGCAGTCTACGTGCCAGGCTACCACTAGTGATTATAAGAGATGAATTGCGAAGGCACAATATAAGAAACAGTGGTCGCGACTCATTTAAAGAGTTTCTTAAATTTCGCTTCAGTGGTTCTTCAGTCATTTGCAACAAGCGTAGATGCCATCGGAGCTCTAAGCAGGCCACATTGCTCGTAGCCTTGGCTAAAAACAATTTACGGCAGGCTTATAAAACTCCACTCCAGATACTATAGATTGTTAGGGTATTTAAATACGAAAATATATGAAAGAAAGACCACGTAACGCTAGACGGAATAAATTACCCCGATACATTTAGTTAGGTGATGGACTGTAGGCCTTGATCGCAGGGAAGAAATAAAACCATATCGGAAATTGGAATCTCAATAGGATGCTGGTGAGCATATTTCCTTTAAAAATGTTTAGTCCATAAGGTAACCTTAAAATATGCTATTGTTGTCCGTTTAATTCGAGCGGTTATCACTAGTATAAACATTCGCCTTAGATATTGTTTCTATTACATATTTAAAAAATTCTTCAAGAGACATTCTTTTCAGATGACTATTAAAAATGCACCACCTGAGTGTGTTTTCATTGTTAAAGAATGCACGAATTAAATGCTAAAATAGTATTAGCTAGTTTAGCGTTAACTATTTCACTAAATTAATCTTAAAAGCAATACATAGAATAAGACGGCTAATTACAACCACATATGCATGCCTGCCCCACGAAGAAAAGACTTAGCAATTAAACCGGAGCCAGACTCGGCACATAGATTTATTTAATGTCATTCAGCCTTCATGCAACAGTATAACAAAAATTTGTTATTTTTTAATGTCAATAAAATAAAAATTAAAAATATACAATTATTTATTTATTTATACTTTAGCTAACTAAATATTAATTATGAAAAATATAATTATTAATACTTAGTAATTTGTAGTTTTTTTTGTTTTTGCTTATATCTTCTCTCCCCTTTGTTTCGTTTGTCAACAGCTGGGCGCTTCGGCCGCCTCCCTTTCGAGTTTTTCCTTCACCTTTTGCTATTCTATTATCAGTTTCTTAATCGATTCTAGTTTTAAGTAGATGGCTTCGATGATAACTCTATCGGTGGCATTTAATTTTGGAATTCGGTTTTTCTTTGGAATTAAGCAATGAAAAAATATGCCAATGGCTTTTTTGACGCTGGTCCTGCGGTTAGTATTGATCGTTTGATACCGACTTTTGAAGTGTTTTGCTAGCAATATTCTTATCTATGCTTTCTGTCTGACATTTTGCCGGACTTTTTATAATTTTACTACTTTAAATACTATTCTTTAATGTTAAACTGTTTTAAGATGTATGATTTGCCGTCTTTTACGTCCAAAGCATCTATCTAATTGGCCATTAATATTTATTTCTAATCTCTTGGTTATCATTTATGCCACATTTTCTCTAGTGTATGAACTTTGATAGCTTATATTACTACCTTACTTCATGTTTTATTACTAATATTCCTCACTTACAGGCCAAAGTTCCCCGTACTAATACATCATTTGAATTACTCTCCAATTCCGCCTTCTCGGAGAACTTAAATGCAAGTCCTGTTGTCGGTGGTCTTATAAGCTCAAGTAGTCATGACAACGATTCATCCTCTTCTTCCTCCTCGTGCTTATCTTTTTACGGTGGCTCAACAAACTCCACCGGATCCTCGAGTTTAACTAGGGAAAACCTTGTGTCATCTAGCCCTACAACCATGTTAGAATTTATTACTGCCGCTGCCAACCATCTTAATCCTAACCTAATTGTCAACCCTGTCACAAGTGGGACTCTTGGAGTCAACCAAGTTGATACACTTGATTCAGTGTCCACGAACTCTCATCTGAAGGCCATTTCTCAAACAGGTGACTTTGAAAACCATTCTTCTAGCGCTGGAATAATCTTCTCTCAAGTTGCTAATGGATCACCCTCTATACCACAATTGGTCGTCAGTGGCGACTTTCTCTCTGCTATTGCCCAGGTAATTCTGCTCTTGATTACGCTGCTGATAAATTAAAGAAAATTAATTCGCGTTACTTCGTTACCTAATTTTCTCATATTATATGATTCTTGTTTAGGACTTTGTATCTAGTAATTTTTTCCTCTTAAAATTAACTGATTTCATGTATTGTTAGATCCTTTATTACTCTTGCTTAGGATATTATTTGGGTACATATCATATCTATCCTCATCATTAATACTGTCTGGTGAATTACTCTAATCCTAGTTTCACATTTTTAAAATTAGAGTTACTTGTCCAACACGCAATCCTCCCTCTAGTTAGAATTTTGAGGCAAAATTATTGGATTATTATGAGAGTAAGTTGGCGGTAATAGCTTAATTGAAATACTTTCTAACAACGTAGTACTGTATTAGGCCTTATGTCCGTAGCTTTATATTTAAGATAGCAGGCCTTATCTCTGCCTATCTAATTGTCTGATTGCGAATTCTATCTTGTGGCACTATTAGTTATCTGGATTCGAGTCATTTTTCTCAATTTCTTAAATGAATAAGTTTCCTTTTTCGTTTATTGGCTTGTTCTTCTATTAGACTATTCGGTTCAAAACAGTCCTTGCTATATAAATAAATCTATATATTTATAATATAAATAGATAAAAATGAAAATATTTTAAAAATTATCCATCACACGTATCTTGGTTTTTTATGTGCTTCACTTCCATCTTTGGACCGAGATTTGTAATTAAAATGCAATTTCCATCCCTCATTTTCTCAACTTTAATAGTAAGGTCTAAAATTAATACTTTGCAGAAGTTTTTATTCTATGAGATGCAGTAAAGATATTAACTGCTAAATTTGTTAAATTAACTTGTACATAAAAATGTTTATAAATAGCTTACCTAAGCCCATTTAAAAAATTTCATATATTTCTGTACACCGTTCCAAAACAGAGCTAGACTGATCATTAATATGCGTAGAGGCAAACTACTCATCTAATGGGACAACTTAAATAGGAGGGACATATGAAGAAAAGTTAGGTTTTGAAAAATCCCTTAATATAATGATATTGCAGCACCTCTTATTTTCTTTAAGAATACAGGTGGAATGGAATTATAAATTTGTCCCTACGGGAGCCGGATTTGTAAGATTATTCCAGGGATGCCTAAGTTCGTCTTTCTTTGACCCCGAATAATCCTTGCTAAAATTTTATATATCATAAACTAAACACCACCATGGCCAAAAAGGCAACAATATTGACCAGAATGCCCCAAACAACAGCTGGCCAATAGGAATGTGTAGGAACAGCCTTTGAATTTATTCGCCACACACTCGAAATTTAAATGGGCTTGGCAATTAATATTTCTCAAAATAATCAATTTTTTTCTGTTTTTTCTACATACTACACTATTAATAGACTCGTCTCATTAGGTTGGTATTTTGGGGAAGCAAGTCGTTCGCAGGATTGGGGGTTGATTGGAACTTGCTTTAAGTGAGATCTACCTCTTAACTACTTTTGCTTAGCTCCATTCATCAGAGATAATTTTCTTATTCCCGCCACATATAATTTATCCTACAAACTGATATATTAAAGTATTAAACATAATTTACCTATTCACATGGATGGCTGCTTATCTTCAGCAAAAATCGTATGGGACAATGGACATTAGTTGGTATTGTTATGGATCCAGATAATTGCGTGGCCTCTGAAGATGAAGACTGGCTTTTATTTCTCTTTCATTTCTTAGATTGCTTTTTATGGTTGATTGATTTGCATGTAAATAGGACAATTTCGCAAAACTCCGCCTTATTATGGTAAAAGTTGGCACATGTTATGCATTAACTCCATCATTTCCATCTTGCCTTCTCTTTCAGAGGGGGTTGCACTTTTGATTAATGTTCGTC